GGGGGGGGGGAAGAAACGCATTTGACAAACCTGAGTATGTGTGGGAGAAATGCATTTAACAAACCTGGGGGGGGGAGAAACGCATTTGACAAACCTGAGGGGGGAGAAAGCATTTAACAAACCTGAGTGTGTGTGTGAGAAATGCATTTAACAAACCTGAGTGTGTGTGGGAGAAATGCATTTAACAAACCTGGGGGAGGGAGAAACGCATTTAACAAACCTGGGTGTGTGTGGGAGAAACGCATTTAACAAACGTCCCGCTGAACGAGAGAGGTTTTAGGCTCCTTTGTGGTCGACGACTACCAGTAACCCTCAATGCTCTCCCATCCAGGCTGGGAATTGTGATACAAAGGTGGTTTAAAAGTGGGAGGCAGGAAAAGCAGCACCTCTTTCTGGAGCGCCCTCTCACTTGTCCTACCTCGCAGGGCTCTTCGCAGCCACCAACTGTGCACGCAGCGGCGGCGACGTGACTAGGAGGAGCCAACGCCAAAAGAGGGAGGGTGAGCGCGTGCAACGCTGTGCGAGTTCCCGGGGCGGGGGGGAAATAGCCGGAGTGTACGAGGAAAGGCACGCGGACCCCCCCCCCCCCCTACGTGGGCCCCTCTTGAGGGCGCCACCACAACATCCCTCCTCCCCTCCCCCGCTAGAATTGGGACGTTCCTTCCTGCCACGCGCTTTCTCCCCGCCACCCCTCCTCCCCTGCCATTGCTTTTGCTGGCTCCTCTCCTTCCCGCCCTGTCAGTTGAGGGAAGAGCGGGTGGTGTGTCCCTCACGTCATATGGCCCGCCTGGCTACCATTGGCTGGCAGGCCTCACCAGACTGCAATGCTGTTCCCGGGACTGCTCGGCAGCTCCGCCTCCTGTCCCTCCCTCTCCGCCGCGTCAGCCTCAGCAGCAGCGGCGGCCCCGCGGGAGGGGTGGAGGCGCGCCGCACGAAGAGGCTCGCGCCTTTATAAGCCGGCAGGGCGCGTGTGCGTGAGGGACTGATTGAGAGAGACTGTGTTGCCCGAGTCCAAGCAGGTAAGGGCAGGGGGGGGGGGGTGGCGGGGGGAAGGCGGGGGGGGGGGGGGGGGGGGTGGGGGGGGGGGAGATCGTGTGTGTGTGTGAGAGAGAGAGAGAGAGAGAGAGATTGAGTGTGAAAGCCCCCCATCTCAACGATACCTGCTTCGGTTAAGACGGTCAGTTAGCGGTCACCTGAGACTCCACAGTTGGAGGCAGTCTACCTGAGGGTACTGGGTTGAGAGGGTAACTGGGTGGTCCCCGCGCTCTACCTGGTGGGTCTTGGAGCCCCTCGCCCTCGAATCTGCTAAGGGGGGAGGAAAGGGCGGCAGCTCTGGCTTTTCTAGCCTTTTGCAGCAAATCCGCCGTCTCCAACTGGGCGCCCACCCGATGCACCCTCCAGAAGAAGGATGTGGTCTTCTGATTGACCAACGGTTTGTTGTGTGTGTGTGGGGGGGGGGTTAACTTAATTTGTAAAAATAAAATCCAGTTGGCCTTTACTGGGGGTGGGGGACAGATGGACCATTGGTTAGTGGTTGTTTGTAAATGCTTTCTGCTTTTATATCATACACACACTGCAATAAGTTAAGCACATCATGTCCTAGCACCATGCCTGGTGAAGCATCTGGGGTCACATTCTCAGTGATTGCTTGCAGGCAGCAGTGGCAAGGCTTGGTAGCTAGGAGCCTTGGGGATCAAGAGAAATTATATGAGGAGCTTTAAGTTTCCTTCAAACCTTGGCAGTTAAAATGCTGGAGGGAGAAGAAGAGGCCAATTTGTAAGTCTCTGGCTGCACCTAAAGTAGAAAACGTAAGCATTCCTGTGAGTCAAGCTTCACTTCTCGTTACTTCTTGTGATTTTGTGTCATATTTTTTTTTCCTGCCAAGGATATGGAAAGAGCTTGCCATTGTCTTCCAGAATATTTATTCAGTTTCCCAAGCTGGCCTTCAGTTTCTTCTGGTGGTTTCCCAGCCAGCTATGAAGACTTGACCCTGCTTAGCTTTGAAGTCACAGTGCTTAGGCTGGTGAAATCTTGAGAAAGCACAGCTGGTATGAGTGGGAGGGAGACTTACTCTACTCCTCCCTGTTATCTTACTGGAGAATATGGTGAAAGTTAGATATCAGGCTGGTAGTTCTGTCTCCTACAGCAGAAGGGGTTTTTTTACCAGATAAAGTGGCTTTCACTTAGATCTCCCAAGAGGCAGTCTTTTTCCTACAATATTGGCATTCTTGTAGCACCAAATAGACAAAACTAGCCTGGCATCTTATAACAGTTTGCCCTACTTTGGAGAGGAAAAGGGGCAGTTCAGTAACCTACATAAAGTGAGAATGTTTCGATTATAGGATCTATCTGTTTGAAAATTGAGGCTTTTGAAAAGAAACTATACAAACCATTTGTCCAGAATGGTATAGTCAGTGTCCACTACTTGAGCAGGGGGTTGGACTAGAAGACCTCAAAGGTTGCTTCCAACGCTGCTATTCTCTGTTCTGTTATTTAAACCTGCCATGTCACTGGTATTGGGGCAATTTAATGCTGCATTTCATACTGGGTTAAGCTTGAAGGGTCTATACCAGCGTGTCCAACCTTGGCAGCTTTAAGACTTGTGGACCTCAACTCCCAGAATTCCCCATCCAGCATTTTTGGCTAAGGAATTCTGGGAGTTTAAATCCACAATTCTTAAAGTTGCCAAATTTGGAGACCTCTGGTCTATACATAGAAAAATCAGAATTGTGCATGCATTTCATAGAAATTAAATTCTGAAGAAGCAGGACAGAAAAAATCTAGAGAGTTTTGAATTTTGGTATTGGAGAAGAGTGCTGAGACAACAATGGGCAGCCAAGGAAATAAACGTTGACTGTAAAATAAACTGTCCAGAATACTCAAGGCAAAAATGCCCAAGGGTCAAATTATCATGTTTTGTGTACATAATGTGAAGTTCCATCTTATTCAAGAAATCTACAATTCTGGGAAAGATGGAAGGAAAGAGAAGAGGGCAATTGGTAACAAGGTGGAATGAGTGCACTGGTGTTCCTGGAGAAGATCTACTTGATGTAGTCATCCATTTGTTGGTGTTTAGTCAAAAGTTTAAAGGACTATGTTTTATTCCTAGAAAATTCTTACTGTTTTAACATTGTGGTATATACACTTTATTCTGGTATTTGGAATTCTAGATAAAATGCTTCTGTAGAAACTGTGTAATTAGATACTCCTTGAAGCAGTGTAAATATTTAAACTGGTAATGGTTTTATCTTGTGGTTGTTCTAAAAGTTCAAAGCAAGTTTTCTCTTGGCAGTAGTTTTGAGATAAGGAAGTCAAGTGACTTTATAAATATGCTTGGCTAAGTAGCAATTAATTGAGCTTTTAGTTCTCTAGCCAGGTAATAAGAGACAGAACTACTGCCTCAGTTTCACTGTAAGGTATTTCACATCTTCAGTTCTTACAACAATATAATTAGGTAGGCCAAGAGCTAAGAGGGAGAGGGCTTTTTAAAATTAAAGGTGAGAAAATTCCTTAAGGTCATTTTCTTTGATTCCATATTAATACTTCATGGGAATAACAGCATAAATGAAGGAACCTAGTTCAACCCTCTGCTCAAGCAGGAGACCTATACCATTCCAGACAGGTAGTTGTCCAGTCTCTTAAAATCCTCCAGGATGCAGCCCCCACAACTTTTGGAGGCAAGCCATTCCACTGATTAATTGTTCTGTTAGGAAATTTCTCCTTAGTTCTAAGTTGCTTCTCTCCTTGATTAGTTTCCACCCATTGCTTCTTGTCCTGCCCTCAGGTGCTTTGGAGAACAGGTTGACATCCTCATCTTTGTAGCTCTTCAAACATTAGAATACTGCTATCAGGTCAGCACTAGTCCTTTTCATTAAACTAGACATACCCAATTCCAGCAACCATTCTTTGTTTTAGCCTACAGCCCCCCAATCATTTTTGTTGCTCTCTGCACACTCTTTAAGGTCTCAACATTTTTTTCACATTGTGGCGACTGTGTAATACAATATTCCACCTGTGGTCTTAACCAAGGCCTTATAAAGCGCTATTGAATTCCATATTATAATATGGAATTTTATCAGGCTTTGGATTAACTAGAGAAGTATAAGAACTTTTTGTAGAGATAAAAGCATAATAGCACATAACCAGCCCATTGAGAGCTTTCTGAGTATTCTGTACTCTATAAGGCCTTCATGTCTCTTTCAGAAACCCGATGGAGAAACCTGTACCTCAACCTGAGAATCATACCTGGAGTTGCTCCTGTACAGCCAGAGGAAGATACAAGGATCACCTGGGTGGAAGTGCAACAGGGTTAGCAGCCAAAGTGGGTGAAATGCTAACCTCATCTGTTTCCAGTTCTCCCCTGACCTTAGTGGGTCATGCAGCCCGTCACCCAAGCAGCCCAAACAGAGGCAGCGTCCCTGGTAGCAGCAGCTTGAACTTGAGCAGAGACTTACTGCAGCGCAGCCTGGTGCTTTTTGCTGTGGGCACTTTCCTTGCCCTGGTGCTAAACTTACTGCAGATTCAGAGGAATGTAACCCTGTTCCCTGAGGAAGTCATCTCTACAATCTTCTCTTCTGCCTGGTGGGTGCCCCCTTGCTGTGGGACAGCAGCAGGTAAGCGGGAACCTTTTAAAAGAAGGTGAGGGGATTTCCAGTTGCCGTGGCTCTAAGCTGGGTTGGAGGATGTTAGTTCATTGCTCAGAGTGGTGTGTGCTATTTTCTTGTTTATTTACTTTGAAAGTGGTTTTATATTTTCCTCATTTAACCAAACAGGTGCCTAGAGTGGCATTTAGGAGCTTATATATCTTGATATTTGATAGGACTGTATTTGACCTCACAAGGAGAACACGGATTAAGATGTAAGAAAACAACACCTTTAGCAGCAGAGTGTTTTTCCTCCTTCCTTCTTTCTAAAGGCTTTGTGAGTTTGGCGTTATTTTTCACTCTGGAAAGCGAAAGAGTTTCCTCTAGCTATTATTGCTTGGCAAGTTTTTAACTCAGGAGCTGGCATGATTCATCATCACTCTTGGCCATATAATTGGCTTGCTGTGGAAACTGGTGAGTCGCGTGCTCCGCTTCCTATTGGTTCGCAGTCTGAACATGCCACATACTCAATCAAAAACAAGGAAGTCACATGTTGTGACAGAAGAGAGGAACTGAGACTGGCTTAGTGCCTATTTTAAGAGCAGTTTTAGTTCCTAGCAAGATGCTCATAGAAAATGACCCCTTTTTTATTGCAAAGTACAAATAAAAGTTCAGAATTGAATTACTACAATCCCTTTTCAATTAGGTAAGTTAGTCCCTTTTGATGGTTATTCCAAAAGTATTCTCAGGCATTGGGTTTCAAATCATGGTATTTAACAGAGCTGTTGTTGGCAGATTGTACATAGCTTTGGCTCCAGAGCCATTTATGACATCAAGACTTAAAATCTTCTCTCTGCAAGTCAAGATGAGAAAAAGAAACTCGCT